GTGTCGTGTCAAGATAATAAACGTGTCAAAAATACTCAACCCGAACCCGACTCATTTAATAAACGTATCATGTCGCGGGTTCGAGTCGTGGCGAGATAATAAACATGTCAAAAATACTCAACCGGAACCCGACTCATTTAATAAATATATCATATCGGGTTCGAGTCGTCTTAAACAGGTTATTAAACAGGTTACCTGGTTGATAACATGTTTACTCATTCCTAATTTCCAATTTAAAAAGGGGAAACATTAAATAAAAATTAAATAAATAAATAAATAAGGGAAACATGGGACTACATCAGGTTAATAATTGGGTTATTTCACATTTAAAAAAAAAGAAAAAAGAAAAAGGAAACATGAGATTACATTAAATTTAAAAAATATTTTAAATAAAAAAAAATTAGGGCGCACTTCCTGATTCCACAATAGGAGTCTTTAGTTTGGCCCTCTGGATATCTTCACTTGGATTTTCATGCACAGTTTCTTAGGGCTCATCACTTGAGCTCCCAAAAATCACACCCTTATCTTAAGCATAACTTGTGTCGTGATCTCGATGGTTGCGTTTACCTGGTAGATCCAGGGCCTCTAGCTGCTTGTGTCGTGATTTATAGACTTACAATGATAAGAAGGTAACCCACAAATTATGAGTTAAAGACTACTAATTATATAGGTTACAATATATCAAAAGGTGAAGGTAATGAATATAATGGTGGTCATCCACATACATATAATGTATTGTATTGTATTCATTTCATATTTTAACTTCAGAACATAATTTAATTAAGCTGGCATGCATGCCTCGTGTCGTGGGAAACAGCCCTTGACAATTCTCCACAAGAAATTCTTCACCTTTGGCACCAACTGCGCACCCCAAATTTAATTAGCTTCCATCATCACTCATCATCATCTACGATTCTATTCCCCTTGAGCTTGGTTGACGGGAGTAGGTAATGCTCAGAAAACTATGTCAAATAAAACCCAAAGGCAATATTTTTGTTAAGTAACCGTACAAGGCCTACGTCATAGTAGTAGTATATCATAAGAGAGACGGACAAAATTACCAACGGCAAAATGCTAAAAAACTACATGAATTATTAAGCCTAGGACAACCGTTCATTAAGCTGAAAGTAGCTTTTTAAAGGTAATACATTAAGAAAATCCAAACCAACATAAAGTCATTATCTTTTAAACAAAAAATCATTATCTCTAATATAAAACCTAAACCAAGATAAACAAACGCAAACAAAACTTGAGCAACATTAATTTGTTGAGAACAGGAAGTGAATGCGATCCAAAAAACCCTCCCAATGTTTTCTAACAGCAGCGTCCACTTCCTTCATGTCTACTTCCTCAATGTCCACTTCCTCATTGTCCACCGTTGAACTATCCATAAAATGCTCATAGACATTTCGCAGGAACTTTAGAAGGTCTGACGGCAGACCTTTATATGGTTTAGCTCGCTCATAATTAAAAACTTCAATGAAAAACGATTCCAAAGAATTGATGGCTGCCGTTGTGTTCCAATCGAAGAACTCACCAAATTTTTTTGAGTTCAAGCCAGAGCGCAATTTTTTATGCGTGGTTTGAAGTTTATGATGAAGTTCACCAAAGTACTTCATCCTCCGACCAGGAGCCATCAAAAATGGGTGTTTTAGCATCTTAACATACTTTTTGTAGCTGAAAAGAGACAAAAAAAAAAAATTCATAAACACATGTAATAACATACCATATTTCACAAAAATTAAGAATTAAAAAAATTCAAAAGTACTTACTCTTGTACTCTAGTGTTAAAACAACAAAGAAAACTAGTGAGTTCCGGCCATTCAGTATCGGAACTCAAAACCGGTCGAAATAGAGATTGCAGCATCCAACTTAAATCCTTGAAGTCTTGGAAAGCAACCTTGTCTCCTTCAATAAGTCCTCCTCCTAAGTTCATTATCTTGAGTGTATCACCCGCAAAAACATAACTCGTCATTGCCCGCAAGGAACCATGGAAAATCCCCTCATCATGAATGTGAGAGATCGCTTTAATTAATTGTCTGTCAAATCATGAAATACATAAGTTAACCATAATACAAATTAATATATCAAAAACACAGATTATTATTACACTCACCGTATTGTACGACACCAGTAATCACAAAGGCAGCGAAACCCAATCTTCAAATCTACCTTGTTTGGATCAGAAAGGCTTTTTGAATTTACCTTATCTTTCCAATCAGAAAGTGAAATGTCGAATCTATCATAACAAAGAGTCCACCATCCGCTCGTACCCTCATTATGTTTGCAATATGCAACCATCCATGGGCGGAGAAGTACTCTGTCGGATACCGTTGAGGTTAAATGAAAAATTTGCTCAGCTATTTGCTCTTGTTCATCCCCATCACCGATATTCAAGAAGGAAACATTTTCGCTTTACCGTTCCTCTTAAATATAAGCTCACCATGATCGTACAAGCTTCCATTCCTTGAATAGTTACTGGAAAGTTTATAAAAGCACAATTGTGCACCCTTAACCATGTCACTTGAATCATCACTATCGAAATATTGTTCATTGATGTACTGGAAAAACTGAATTTGAATTTCCATTTCCTGGAAATATTAGAATTAGAATCAGGACCCCAAATATTAGAGAAAAAAGAACCCTAAGCGCATGAAAGTAAATTTTCAAATTATTCTAAGAATTTTGCATGCCGTTTAAAAGCAAATAAAATTTATTATCGCTAAAAATTTCTAATTATATTAGAAACATAAAATGTCAATAAATAAAAAAGACTCGTTTTAACAATATAATAATTTTCCAACAAAATAAAAACGAATACAAGAATTTGCAAGTCCAAATCACCAAAAGGAAAAAGGCCATTCTTCGGCAACCAAATTCGTAAGTAGATATGCAGAAAAATTAACACCATACCTCAATTTGGCAGACGCTCCAACTCAAAGAATTCTGAAAAATAAAAATAAAAAATCCACAAAAATTCGAATAAGTTAGAGGAAACTGGGCAACATGTGAAACTGAGAAAATACAAGACAAAGAATCTATGGTTTCAAATTTCCTTGTCGGAGTAAGGATTATGAAGGCATATGTTCATTGGAAAACGTCTCCTAGTTGCATGGCCAATTGCAGCAAGTGCTCTTTATTTTATTTTTCTTATTTAAATAAATTGTGAATGTACTATTTTATCCCTATTTAATGAAATATCTTCTGTTTCAGTATATTCATTAACATGGACAACTGTGGAGATTTCGAAAATATAGATAGATATAGATTTAAATAATTAAATTAATTATGTGGGAATTTAAATAGTTTAAATTTAATGACTTGACATGAGCTAAGTTATTTGAGACTCAATATATTATTGGTTTGATAAACAAGTATTGTTGGTCAATCAATGTTCAAAAGACAAAAACTACTATCATACTTCAAAAGAAAACAGATTATCGTCGGTCAATCAATGTTTCAAAAACCAGAACAAAAACTACTCAAATCTTCAAAAGAAAATATAACAAAAACTAGATTATAAATGAGAAAGCATAATGTAACCTTTGATTATCTTGGACAATGAAGCAAAACCGATATGCAGTCAAAGAGAGATCCGCGGCAGCCATGAGCCACCTTTGATTAAGAAGAGCGAAGCAAAAAGAGATATTGAGTCCAAGAAAGATCCAAGGAGGAGAACCGCAGATAAATTATCTATATATATAAAGCAAAGTACATAATATATAGAGTTGAACTAAACCAATCTCATATATAAAACGCGTAACAAACTCAAATTTCAAAAAACGGGTAATAAAAAACATTGCATGATAAAACAGGTAAGAAAAACACAAATTTTAAAAAGGGGAACTAAATAGGATAAATAAATAATATTTTATGACTTGTGTGTGTGTTTTTTTATTATAAATATAATTAAAAAGAATAGCTGCCAGCCGCTAGAATTTTACACGAGTTAGAAACTTTCCTCATATCACAACACCCCCTTATAAAAAAAATAAAAAAAATCACACCGCCCCAACCAAGCATAACGAAACTTTCCTCCTATCACACCCCCAGCCAAGCATAATAAAACTCCCGTCTACAGCGGCATCCCCAAACCCTAAATTCCCGTTGCCTTTGCATTTCAATAGCGAAGCCCTTATCATCTGGTATCAGGGTGCATTGGCAAAATTCTCAGCCATCTGCCGCCGCCGCTGATCTCATCTCGGGTAAAGGCCATGTCTTGACCATGACTTCCCGCCAATATGATCCAAAGGGGAAGTTACCGGAGATGGAGAAATCTCCGGTCAATATATCGGAGATGGAGAAAACCCAAAAGTTCGAATCGCAAACATCAATACTGGAGCTGCTTCGCCGACTGAGCGGCAGTAATGATATTCCCGTTCAACCCTGCAGTCCCAGCCTGACGATGCCTTCCGCGGCCGCTGATCTCACCCCTGCTGAATACCGTGCCCTGACGAAGTTATCGGAGGTGCTTTCCGCCCAGCTTTCTGCACGGCTATCCGCCCAGCTTTCTGTCCAGCAACTCCAACTGGCCGATACGCAGAAATCAATACTGGAGGAGCTTCGTCTAATACGCTCCAGTAATGCTAGCCTCAGTCAATCCACGACGACTCCAAATTTCACGGTGATTGACGACAGTCCCAACCGTGAGCCCTTTAATCCTCACCCAAGGTCAGTGCATTATGGCTTAGTGGATTTCATCTTAGCTTCATAATTTTATTTCTCTGTAAAATTGTTGATGTTCTTGATTCGCAAAAAAAGAAAAAGAAAGGATCAATTTTCTTTTTGTTTAGTTTCTCGGAGAATTTTGCATGTATCTTTAATTATATTCAAAGATATTGGCATTTTTACTGTTTTGTTTGTATTCGTCTCTATGTATATATGCTTACTAAAGTAGATGGTGCAGCTTTGACCTTGCTTCATTCATTGAATCTCTCTAGGTAGGTAGGTGTTTTGAAAATATTAATTTGACTTATTCTATCTCTCTCCTCTCTGTCCAGCCCAGAGCATGCATCGATCACTACACATCAGGGGGAAGATAGATCTGTATATTTATTGGTGTCTTTTGATGATATCAAATACACAAATTCAATCTATAAAGTGACATTCAAACATGGAGGAGTCACTCATGAACCCCCAGTAGTTGGACTTGTGGCAGAGTACTATGACGGTTTTAACATCAAGGGTGCAAGAATTTTCAATCGCTCCAAATTATACATCATTCCAGAGGAAGTTTATGATAAAAATCGCGGGGACAAATCTTGCAGGCCATTAGGATACAGCATTGACACCAAGACTGGGTCATATTGTTCATCTCTTCCTCCTAGCATAGCCTCTAAACAAACAGGAACTCTTGTATCTGCTTATGACAAGCTTTACTATGTTGCACTTCCAGGGTCCTCACCATCAATTAAGGAGCCCTCCTTCGAGAGATATGATCCTGATCAAGACGTTTGGGAGCGAATGACTTCTTTTCCATTTTATCGTGACTATGGGAGCCATACGGAAATAATTGGTTATGCCATTTGTTATGGCGTTATTTTATTTTCATTATCGGACTCTTACATGAATCCATATGTCGTTGCTTTTCATGAGAGTAGAAACCAATGGAATCGAGTGACTTCTGCTTCTTATGCTTCTTTTCGAGGGAGGGCCGTGTTTGTCGGCGACACTATCTATGCCTTACATGCGCTTATAGAGGATGTGATTATAACATTCTCATTAAGGATGGACAAAGGTGAAGACGGTGGCATTGCATATTCCCTAAGCCCACTGTTTGTATTGCGTGGCCTGAAGATTGCACGTCCGCCAGTGCGATTTAATGAGCTTAAGACAGAGTATTTGGTTCATTTGGGTGACAAAGACTTTTTTCATGTCAAGACTGGCAGTCCCAATGAAGAAGCACTTCCCGTGGTTCAATATCTTTGTATCACCACATTTCAAATTACTGTTGGAGAAGGAGGAAAACCTATGATCAGAACCATACATTCAACTGTTCATCCTGTGGATATCAAGGGCCGTGAATGGTTCTCACTTGAATTCTGCTTCACACCGTAAGTTTTCTTCACGTTTATTGTGCTTTCATCAATAAAGTTACATTTGTACGTTGGAATTATTTTACATTTTATTTGTAATAAGGTTTCTGATTATTATGACTCAGTGAGTTCGGGGATTATGAACCCATAGAAGTGGAGAGTGTGACTAGTATGAATCAGCCAAAACAAGAAGAAACCACTTTGGATGAACATGATAAGGAGTTTTTGATCCGCAAGGGGACTCGTAGTAAGCTTCGTGCTTGCCCGTGGCTAAGGTGAAAGAAATGTGTTTACAATGAAATTTTTTTATTTATTTAAATGATCATGAATAAAGAGATTCAATTGTATACGTTTCTTCAAGTGTTTTTATAGCCCTTGGGCTTATTATTCATCTCTTCCTCCCAATCTAGCCTCTAAACCATTAGCAACTCTTGTGTCTGCGTATGAAAAGCTTTACTATGTTGCATCTCCAGCATGCTTACAACCAATTACGGAACCGTCCTTCGAGAGATATGATCCTGAGCAAGACGTTTGGGAGCGAATGCCTTCTTTTCCATTTTATTGTGATTGGCCGTATGGAAATAATTCGGATTCCTCTAAAAAGAGAGGCCATGGCCGGGACAAGGATATCACACAAGCAATAAATATGCAAGCATAAATAAGAAACATTCTCTAATGCTGGAATGGAACCTCCCTCAAACAGAACCTGCAAGTTATAAACACACAACATTAATAGAACAAGGAAGAAACCCAAAAAACCCCTGTAAGAATATGGTAAGAAATAACTACATGCAACATTTACCCTGGTAGTCTCGTGGTTTAGAGTAAGATGTTTAACCGTGCTTATACCCCGAAGAACCTCAAACAAGACCAGAGCATCATGTTTCTGAGGTTGCAGAAGCAGCTCAACTTTTTCTAAGCGACTACATTTCTCCACATTTTGGAACACAAACATATTGGCCTTCCATGCCACACACTTGAGATTTGGAGCAATAATGTCGAAATCGGAGAGGTCATCATCGTGGTATATGTACCTAAATGATTCCAAGGAGGAGCTCTGGATGGTGATGCTTTCTGCCCTGCAGTTGTCAAGACTTAATTCCTTCAGGCATTTGCAGGATGATGACATCCATTCGAAAAACCCATCATGTATCTCAACGTTTCGCAAGTCCAAGCGTTGGAGATTGGAAGAAAAACTGGAGGAGGAGGGCTTCTTAAGAACTTTGGGATAATTCATGCCAAAGTCCAACTCTAGAGTCTTCAAAGATCCACATAGAAAGACGCAGGACGGAACCAAGGGATCCTGGCCTCATTGCTTTTCATCTATAAAGATTTCAAGATGAAGCATTTCAACTCCACTCCTTACTGCAATTTCCACCCATCTCACAATCCGAGAATACTCCTTCCTACACTCGCATGCTTCTCTTCGAACGCGAAAGCTTCGTGTCTTATCAACCATCCATTTGATCTTCTTCTCCACGCAATGTGTGAAACCCCATATTTTTAAATACATATATTAATATTTCATAAAATTAAATATTTACAATTATTAGTCTTCCAAACTATATAATATATCTATATATATAAATATAAATTGTATGGCAAGTTACGTATTAACTAGTATAGCCTATCAAATGTTATTGCATGGCTTTAATTATTTCAATTCATTTCAGCATTATTTATTATTATTATTATATATAGATATATATAAATACTTACTTTACAAAAACTGTTAGAAAGACATTTATGCTTACTAAGCATTGTTGAAGACTGACGTGTTGCAATGTAGTATCCTCAAAACCAATTAAAGCATGAGGTGTAAGAATGATAGTTATTCCTATATATATAAACTTGATAGGAGAGTGCTCACTAAGCACTCTACAAAGCCAACACAAAAGGCTATTTGAGAGTCTAGGAACCTATAGACTAATTAGGTGGCACAACATTAAGCTTCATCTAACTGACTCTAGCTTACTATAAATAGGTCTACTCAATAGTTCTTTGATCATAGGTACTTCAAGTGTGTTAGTCTCCTAAAAATCATAGACAAAAGAAAGAAAGAGTGAAGTGTGGTGAGATTTTGGAAAAAGCTCAACTGGGAAGTGTACAATAGCTTTGGATTTGAGGTAGGGGTTTTTTTTTCTTGGGGAAGTTTTGTTTTGCATACATTGAGTTAATTAAATATTGTAAATACTACACTAGGCTTGATAATATTTGATTGTTGTTATGCTTGGTTATATTGTTTGATTGTTATCCTTGATATTAGATGTATACATGTTGTCAATTATCATTATAATTTGATGAATTTTGACATATTCATATGTTGTCGGTGGTGGTTGGAATTTTTGGGTCGATAAAGAAATTATGGAAAAAAGGATAATGGGAAATATCTTTTGTGTAGTTGAGTCTAACCATTGTAGGGACCAAGTTCAGGCGAGCCCGTGTGCACAGTAGATTAGGAAATCGGCGGTATAATTGTCGATTGGGTGATTTGGGCTTGGAGATCAATGATGTAGACAAAATGACTAGCAAAAGGGGAATTATGAGATGATTGAAATGGGTGTTAGTTTATATAATGGGGCATTCGGAATCACAGTGGTAAAATGCATGGTATGGGACATGCAGATTTGCTTGCCCTATTATATAGATTAACGGGTTGGGTAGAATTGAAGTTCATTCATGCATTGTATAAATTGTACATTATAAATCTCACTAATCACATAAGACATAGGACCCCTACTGAGCATGTAATGCTTACCCCTTATTGAATCTATTGCAGGCTTTGAAACTGAAGTGTAGTTTTTGCTGAGGAAACAAGAAGAACGGATTATGGATAGTTTTAAGTGTTTTGTTGAAAGTTTGTTACTTTCTTGTTATTCTGCTTGTAATAATACAATGTAAATTACTTTGACTTAAATGGAAGTTTACGTTCAATCTTCATGTTTCTTGATAATTAAATTTTTAGTTTTAGTTTTTCTTTTACCTCACATTCCCAAATAATAATAATAAAATAATAATTGGGGTGTGACACAATGACACTCCAAACGAACACGAAAGCACTGTATCTTATTATCCCCATGACGGCTCAAGAAACTGTCCAAATAATTCAACAACTGTATCCACTTTTCGCAAGTGGATGCAAAAGTGTAGTCACTGGCAGATAGATCAAAATCCAATGATGGAGCTGAGAGAGGAAGCTCTCTGCATCTTTTCGACACACAGCCGAAACGAGTGAGGTCTGTTATGGCGAGGAAGGAAAGAATACGATGGGCAACTTCGTCTGGAACATTGCTAAATCTAAATCCATCTGTCATACTCTAGCTCACTCTGTCAGTACAACCTCCTTCAAACTCAGAACTTGCAGCAGCCAACTAGAATATAGAAAATGATGATTACAAATCAAATGTAGAGTTATGCTCCTATAAACAAGCTAACAGCATGAGCAAATCGTGGAGAGTTTAAAACTCAAATACAAAACACAACTGAAACCAATTTGAATAAGAAAGAACCGTTCAAACTGATGTATTGGGAAGAGTTTGACCTACGTACGTACCTGGTGTTGGGAAGAGAATAGGGAGAATGGGGTCGTCGTCTTGTCTAGTGTTTTGGGCTAAAGAGATCAATAACAATTGTTCAATGTCTTGTGCTTGATTCATATAGGAGGCGTGTTACATAACTATGTATCTATATATATAAAGCAAAGGCAGAGAATGGTAAAACATTCAAAATACCAGAAAATGCCATTGGTTAATGCAAACATTAAGAATTGAAATTATTAATTAAATGAAGATAATATAGTAAATTCACACTTTTTCATATTAAAAAAATTAAAAATAAAAGAAAAATAAGATAATGGACAAGCTCCTCTCAATCTTCAGTTTGGAAATCAGTTTGGCATGTTGATGCACCTCCCAAGCTCAAAGCCTTCATTTGGCGTGGTTGCTCCAACATTCTTGCAGTGAGGCACAATTTGCACAGGCGGCATGTACCGTGCACCGGGGAATGTGGCTTTTGTGGCTTTCAGGATGAAACTCAGGCTCATATTTTTTTCGAATGTGACTTTGCCCGTGCCTTTTGGTTTGCCAGCCCTCTTCAACTTGACGTGAGCAAGTTAGCGGGTGAGGATTTTATTTCTACTTGGCAACATATGATGACGACGCTCAACTCATCTGAGCATGCGGCAGAGGCTATTCAGTGGTTTGTTTTTGGGCTGTGGTGGGAAAGCCAGGAATTTAGCAGTCTTTGACGGTGTGCAGGCTGACCCTACTGAGGCTGTTCTCCTTCTGCTCAAGCACGTTAGTGAATTCCGTACTGCTAAACAGGACCTCCAGCCCCAGGCTCTCCAACCTGTCAGCAGTCCTGCTCCCCTGAGCTGGTGTAAACCTCTGCCCGGTCTTCTTAAAGTAAACTGTGATGCCGCATGGTCTGCTCAGCGGATGGGTGGGGGTGTTGGCTGGGTCATACGGGATTCTTTCGGTTTATTGCTATGTGCGGGTGGACAGGGAGACCTTCATGGTTCCTCCGTTCTTATTCTAGCTATTCGCCATGCGCTCAGTGAGTGCTAATTTTCATCTCACAGACATTATTGTGGAGTCGGATTCTCAAAAGGGTATCTTAATGCTTAATGGTCGGGCTACAGTGGACTCATACCTAGAGGGGATTGTCTTTGATATCAGGCAGTTGGTGGCTTCTCTTTCTTGGGTTTCCTTTGTGTTTGCTCCTAGGTCCTGTAACCAGGCTGCCCATTTTGTTGCTGGTTTTGTCTCTAAGCAGGGGGGTAATCATGTTTGGGATCATCTAGGAACTGATTGGCTTTTTAATTTTCTTACCTCTGATGTAAACCTTCACATTCGTTATTAATATCATTCTCCAGCGTTTGCCAAAAAAAAAAAAAAAAAAAAAAACAAACATTATTATTTTTTAATTCTAAAATAAATTTTAATTTAAAAAAAAAAAAGCCTCTGGCAAGTGCAGAAGAACATGCGAAGAGGCTAGTACTAATTAAGCATCCAATTCCATAATTACAGTAAAATCAAATTAAATGTATACTAATTCAATGTCTGCGAATGGTTGATTGAAAACTTTGTTTTCGGGTCTTTGAACGATGCAATAATTACACCCTCAATCAGAAACAATCACAAAAGGTCTAATTACCAATTACATAGCAAAATATTAGGGTCAACTATAATCTATTTGTACCAAAAATTGCAATAACTTTTGTCAATTTCTTGCCAAAATACGTGATCTAGAAGATTTGTAGAAAGTTCGTTATTTT